GTGTAGTGACCAGAATTGAACACAATATTCCAAATGCGGCCTAACTAAGGTTCTATAAAGCTGCAACGTTACCTGCCAATTTTTAAACTCAGTGCCCCAGCCAAGGAAGGCAAGCATGCCATATGCCTTGTTGACCACCTTTTCCACCTGCATTGCCACATTCAGTGACCTGTGTACCTATACACCCAGATCCCTCTGTCTATCAGTACTCTTAAGGGCTCTGCCATTTACTGTATATTTTCCATCTGAATTAGACCTTCCAAAGTGCATTACCTCACATTTTTCTGGATTAAACTCCATCTGCCATCTCTCTGCCCAAGTCACCAACCGATCTATATCCTGCTGTATCCTTTGACGGTCCTCGTCGCCATCTGCAATTCCACCAACCTTTGTCATCGGCAAACTTACTAATCAGACCAATTACATTCTCCTCCTATATATATATTACAAACAGCAAAGGTCCCAACACCGTTCCCTGAGGAACGCCATGGTCACAGGCCTCCATTCAGAAACGCACCCTTCTGCTGCTACCCTCTGTCTTCTATGACCAAGCCAGTTTTTTTTATCCATCTTGCAAGCTCACCTCTGTCCCTGTGCGACTCTATCTTCTGTATCAGCCTGCATGAGGGACCTTGTCAAAGGCCTTATTGAAGTCCATATAGACAAGATCCAATGCCCTACCCTCATCGATCATCTTTGTCACTTTCTCAAAAAACACTCAACCAAGTTAGTGAGACACGACCTCCCCTTCTCAAAACCATGTTGCCTCTCACTAATAAGCCCATTGATTTCCAGGTGGGAGTAAATCCTGTCTCGAAGAATCCTCTCCAATAATTTCCCTACCACTGACGTAAGGCTCACTGACCTGTAATTAGCTGAATTATCTCTGCTATCCTTCTGAAACAAAGGAACAACACTGGCTATTTGCCAATCCTCTGGGACCTCCCCTGTACTCGGTGAGGATACAAAGATTTCCCTCAAGGTCCCAGCAATTTCCTCCCTTGTCTCTGTGTTCTGGGGTATATCCCATCAGGCCCTGGGGACTTGTCTACCTTTTAATGGTTTTTCAAGACTTCCAATACCACCCCCCTTTTGATCTCAACATGACCCAAGCTATTTACACTCTTCCCCAGACTCATCATCCACCAAGTCCTTCTCTATGGTGAATACTGACGCAAAATACTCATTTAATACCTTGCCCATTTCCTCTGGCTGCACATATAAATTCCCTTCCCTGTCCTTGAGTGGGCCAACCCTCTGCCTGGCTACCCTCTTGCTCATTATATATGTATAAAAATATATTTGTAGTGGGAGGATTCAAGTATGGAATCGGGGAAGTCTTGCTGCAATTGTACGGGGCTTGCTGAGACCATACCTGGAGTATTGTGTGCAGATTTGGCCTCTTTATCTGAGGAAGAGGTATGGAAGGAGCAGCAAAGGTTTACCAGTTTGATCCATGTGATGGCATTTGACATCAGACCTGACATATGAAGAGGCACTGGTTTGGTTAGGACTATATTCGTTAGGATTTAGAAGAATCTCAGAAACCTGTAAAATTCTAACAGGACTTGACGAGGTAAATGCAGGAAAGATGTTCCCAATGTCTGGGGAGTCCAGAACCAAGGATCACAGTTTAGGAATACAGGGTAGGCCATATGGGACAGAGGTGAGGAGAAATCTCTTCACCTGGCGAGTGGTGAGCCTGGAATTCTCTACTGCAGAAAACAGTTAAGGCCAAAACTTCAAATGTTTTGAGGTGAGGCGAGAGTGACCGCCCTTGACAGCAAGGTTGCATTCAGCCAAGTGTGGCATCAAGGAGCCCTAGCAAAGTTAGAATCAGTGGGTATCAGGGGCAAATTTTGCACTGGTTGGAGTCATACCTGGCACACAAGATGGTCGTGGTTGTTGGCGGTCAGTCATCTCAGCTCCAGGAGTTCCTCAGGGTAGTATTCTAGGCCCAACCATTGTCAGCTGCTTCATCAATGACCTTCCCAACACCATAAGGTCAAAAATGGGGATGTTCGCCAAGTACTGCGCAATGTTCAGAATCATTTGTGACTCCTCAGATACTGTAGCAGCCCGTGTTCAAATGCATCAAGATCTGGATAATATCCAGGCTTGGGCTGACAAGTGGCAAGTAACATTCATGCCATTCAAATGCCAGTCTATAACCATCACCAAAAAAAGTCAATCTAACTACCGCCCCTTGACATTCAATGGTGTTACCATCACTGAATCCCCCACTATCAACATCCTGGGGGTTTCTATTGACCAGAAACTCAACTGGACTCACTCACCACATAAACACCATGGCTACAAGAGCAGGTCAGAGGCTGGGAATACTTAAGCAAGTAACTCACCTCATGACTCCCCAAAGCCTGTCCACCATCTACGAGGCACAATTCAGAAGTGTGATGGAATACTCCCTACTTGCTTGGATGGGCACAGCTCCAACTACCTAAGAACAGCTCCTAAGAACTAAGTTCTTAGGACTTGGGATCAAAGGGTTTGGGAGAAAGCGAGAGAATAGAGTTGAGTTGGATGATTATACATGATCATGTTAAATGGTGGAGCAGGCTTTAAGAGCCAAATGATGTGCTCCTGCTCCTGTTTTATATTTCTATGTTTACATTGATCTGAGAGGGAAACATAACCTGAATTTTACTGCTCATCTGAAAGTCAGCCCTTTTGACATTGCGGAATTCCCTTAGTACTGTAGTGAAGTTTCAGGCCAGATTGTGTTCAAGTCTCTGGAGTGGATATGAACCTATAACTGCCAGACTCCAGAATAATGAGTAAATATGGCCTGTACCGGCCTGTAGAATTACCACTGACCAATGATAACACATACATTGCCGAATTGAATAAATTACCAATTATCAGTTTGATGTTGAGGTTGGTTGGCTCGCCGAGCTGGTTTGTTGTTCTGCAGACGTTTCGTTACCATGCTGGCTGACATCCTCAGTGCAGCCTCTGATGAAGCGTCAGTGTGTTTTCCCGCCTCGTTTTTAAACTCTGGGGTCCGTTGAGATGGATTGCCTCATTTCCAGGTTTCCTCCGTAGTGGAATGTATATGGGGTAGAGTTCAATGTGTTTATTAATAGCATGCTTCCAGGAATTCTCGTGCTTGTCTCTGCCTAGCCTGTCCCAGGATCTTGGTGTTGTCCCAGTCGAAGTGGTGGTTCTCCTTGTCCATGTGGATTGAGATGAGCGAGTATTGGTCGTGTCTTTTTGTAGCCAGTTGGTGTTCATGTACCCTTGTTGTTAGTTTCCTTCCTGTTTGTCCAATGTAGTGTTTCTCGCAGTCTCTGCAGGGGATCTTGTAGATGACATTGGTCCTGTCCATGGCGGGGAGTGGGTCTTTAGTTCGGGTGAGCAGTTGTCGTAGGGTTGATGTGGGTTTGTGTGCCACTCTGATGCCCAGCGGTCATAGGAGTCTTGTGGTGAGGTCTGACGTGTGATGAGTGTGTTGGGGTGTGTAGAATCTTTCTGATGCTGTTCCTGTAGGCATCTCCTGACCCAGTTCTTTGGATATCCATCATCCTTGAACACTTGGAAGAGGTATTCTTCTTCCTCTTGGCGTAGTTCCATGTTGCCCTTTTTTTGCCCTTTGCTGCACATTGCAGCAACATGGAACTACGCCAAGAGGAAGAAGAATACCTCTTCCGAGTGTTCAAGGATAATGGATATCCAAAGAACTGGGTCAGGAGATGCCTACGGGAACAGCATCAGAAAAATTCTACACGCCCCGACACACTCATCACACTACCCTACATCAGGAACATGTCAGAACTCACCACAAGACTCCTACGACCATTGGGCATCAGAGTGGCACACAAACCCACATCAACCCTACGACAACTGCTCACCCGAACTAAAGACTCATTCCCCACCGTGGACAGGACCAATGTCATCTACAAGATCCCCTGCAGAGACTGCGAGAAACACTACATGGGACAAACAGGAAGGAAACTAACAACAAGAGTACATGAACACCAACTGGCTACAAAAAGACACAACCAATACTCACTCATCTCAATCCACATGGACAAGGAGAACCACCACTTCGACTGGGACAACACCAAGATCCTGGGACAGGCTAGGCAGAGACAAGCACGAGAATTCCTAGAAGCATGGCACTCCACGAAGCATGCTATTAATAAACACATTGAACTCGACCCCATATACATTCCACTACGAAGGAAACCCGGAAGTGAGGCAATCCATCTCAATGGACCCCAGAGTTTAAAAACCAGGCGGGAAAACACACCGGTGCTTCATTAGAGGCTGCACTGAGGATGTTACCCAGCACGGTAATGAAACGTCTGCGGAACAACAAACCAGCTCAGCGAGCCAACCAACCTCAACACCCACAATTCGAGCTACAGATCTACTCCAAAACCTTAGATTTATCAGTTTGAATTTTTATTGAAAGTGCTTATGTCATGATAACAAAGAATTGTTATTAAGATGTATGATTTTCAAAGTGCTTGCTTTCCTTTGAATCGAGTGACTCCAGGAATATAAATCGTCATTGTACAATGAGTTTAGGGGGAGGTGATGGCCTAGTGGTATTATCACGAGAATATTAATGTAGAGAGGCAGGTAATGTTCTAGGTACCTGAATTAACCAGGGCAGAAGGTGGAATTTGAATTCAATAAGTATCTGGAATTAAGAGTCTAATGATTTCATGGACATCATTAGAGTCAGTTGTTGTAAAAACCCATCTGATTCACTGATTTCCTTTAGGGAAGAAAACTGCTGTCCTTACCTGGTTTGGCTCACATGTGACTCTAGACCCACAGCAATGCAGATGACTCTTCACTGCCTTCTGGGCAATAAATGCTGACCTTGCCAACATGCCTACATCCCTTGGGTGATGATTAAAAAATATTCTGTTTATCACCAACTTCAATGATTTGGGTCGTTTGAACTAAAATTAGTTAACTTCTGTAGAAAAAAGGTTAAGCTAATCTGAACTCTTGTCTTCTGCTTGCAGCTAATTGCTTGATCTCACTATGTTTTAACAATGGCTGATACTTCAACACACAAACATTGAGCTACAGACAAGGTTGTATGATACAACGTGGACTCTGCTTGAGGTAAGCTTATTTTAAATTACCAGTCTTTTGAATGATGTATACAGGTGAAGCAACTATACTTTTCTTTAATTAATGCTTTCAGAACACTGATACAAGCAAGCATATTAGAGCACCTAATAATGATTATTATTATGATCAAATAAAACTGTTCCCCACCTGTATAGGAGTGAATAAATGTTTTACCTGGTGTCACATTGAGTTCTATAGAACAGGAAAATCCTATGATGTTCCATGATCTGTGCTGAGTGAGTTGATATAAACTATGGCAATGATGGGAAAGTTACAGATTGCCTTGGAGTCACTAAGTTGCAGGAACACAAAAACCAACCAGTGCTGCTTCTGATTGCTATGGTGATTGTTGCTGGAAGTGTACATGAAGATGGGGTCAGACTCTATTGTGATGCTATCACTGATGCCAATGGCTACATAAAGGGGAAATTCAATGGAGAAAAAGAAATAAATCTTAAAATGGGCAACATTTGCTGCTCCAATAATTTCTTCTATACAGTAACTTCTGTGGTACCGAATGTCCCAAAAACTTGAGGCGGATGATCAAAATTGGGTTTAAGGGATGTGGTTTCTTCCTAAGTCTGACACCACACATGAATTCCATAATCCTAGATTCTGTATATAACACTTTCTCTTTGTTTCTCCTTGCCTCTGTTCTAGCTGTATTACATTTAGTCTTGTATTATGGCTTTACATTTTAACTGTGTTGTTCCATTCCTGCATTTTCTGCTGGTCTAATCGTTCTTACTGGATTGAAATAGTTCGCCTATCTCTCTTACCCTTCTCTCCTCATGCCTCTTAACATTGATAGATCATGTTTTTGGTTAGATATCAATAGAGCATGTTGCATGATGATTGCAGGTAAGGGACAGGAGAACTTTCAGACAGGAAACCTCTAGATGTTATGTAAATTAATAACAACCTAGAGACTGGAACATTTTTGTTTGTTTCACGCCTTGAGATTGCTGCTGTTCATATTCAAACCACTTCCCACAAGTTTCTCCTTGGGGAAACTAAAATTACCCATGAGATGCCTTCTACAAAATGGCTGACAGCCTTCAATTAGCCCATGTATGGCTGGGTTTCCACACCATTCCCCACGCACACTCTGGAGTTTTAACCATACGGCATCCAACTCTTGTACTTGATAGCTTCTTCATCTAGATGTCAGCTTGACTGACTGTCATGGTTTCTGGTTTTTGAGAAGGATACCAGTGCAAGCCACAGAAGGAGCTATGAGCAAAGTTCAGGTCTGGTTGAGAGAGGTCTAGAGAGGGCTTTGAACCCTCAGACATGAGGTTGAGAACTCCCATTCCACTTTCTAATGGGTAGGAGAAACTTCGAGAGATGGGGAACACTCCTGCACTCCTGTCATGCAAACAATGATGTCAAGGCATGTACAACATCCCAACAAAGTTTCCCCAGCTGCCAGGTTTTCTGAGGCCTGTGAAAACCAACTGTAAAAAATGTATTGCCATTTTAAATTGGAATTGCCATCTTCGTTAAAACATTTAAATTGTGAATTGCTAACTGGTCCTCTGGGAGTAGGTTAGCTACTTGGCCCTTGACCCCTTCAATAAATCTGGAATTGGGCAGGGTGTTGGTGGGTGGTTTTCTGATATATCAAGCTTTAACATCTAACTCAACCCCAATTTGCCCTTTTTGGGGGTTGAATTTCAGCCCATGAAAGTTTTCGAATTACAAATTAACCATCACCTTACACATTCTGGTCCAAGTTAAGATTGGCAGTATAACTTTTGGTATGGCTGTTCCACTGGTGGTGGTGTTGACTTTTTTACACACCTTTAGGAACTCCGTGTTAAACTGTTTGCTAGGGTTATTTGCCATTGAATTGACATGGACATCTTAAAGATTTTTAACCTTTTTGAGGATCAAGCATTGTCCAGTTAATAATACAAGAAGTAAGAGCAGAAAGTTGCTAGTTGACTCTTTGACAGGCTCTATAATTCATTTTTGTCAGGTTTCTTTTTCCTTTCATGTTATCCGATGATCCAAATATCATTTGAGTCCCTAGTAACTAAAAATCTCGATCCTAAAGTATGCTAAATGACGACTGAATATTCACAATTCTTTTGGATCACAAATTCTAAAGAATTACTACTTTTGAGCAGAAAAGGTTCCCTCATTAAAGTCCAAAAAGGTTGAATCCTTATCTAAAATTCCCTATTTTCTATATAATTTGCTGTCTGATTATTATATTTGCTTGTGCTACTGTTGATGCCTAATCTGCCTTTCTTTTTATTAATTCGAGGATTAATAGTGCTCAGATCTTTCTTTATTATCTTATTCACAATAGTAGTTGCTACTCAACATTCAATCCTGTGCATTCTTCTCAAGATTATTCCCTGTACGTTAGCCAACTTCTTTCAGATTACACACCTTTAGTGTTTGAATGCTCCTATAGTGTAGTGGCTGAACAAATTTGTCTGATCTCTTCCACGCTGTTTTAAGACCTTACATTCCTGTGATCATAGGAGAAAGAAGAAGCAGTGGTTAAAGAAATTTTTAAAAAGCTGTTGTTTTCACTTTTTTTGGAACCAACGCCAAGGAAAATGTGGCTGTTAAAAATTTGAGATTGTTGCAAATTATGTTTTTGGAGTCCTTCTGATTTAAATCAACACATGAAGTTTTGATTAATTGTAGAAAGAGAATAGACATGCATCTAGAAAATAATTAACCTCTTTAGTAAAGTACAACTGTTCAAATCCATATTTAAAAAATTGAATGATTTTAAATAATTGCAATTAGGACTAGCTGTGGAAAGTCACCTAATGTCATGTATTTAATAACATTTTTGGTCATCTGCCCATTGCAAGACTGCAATATTTTGTCAGCTACATTTCATTGTTTCTAAAGTCGCTGTGAATATTTAAAATAAAAACATTTTTTTTTCCAAGGCTGTATAGTTTGGAGTTACTGGAAAATAGTAGCCTCTTGAGAATTCTTTGACAGCATTGGCAGGCCAAGGCTGGAATCTTTAACTAGCTTTGCTATGCTGCCAAACTTTGAAAAGGCTCATTGGAAACATGCACACTTCTGAGCCGTGAGTTTCTTTTACAACTAGAAGTGCATAAAGTTTGGCTGTTTTAACTACTTTCAACGAGGGAGGTGTTAAGCAATTTTACAATCTTATGGTTATAAATGTTTATGTTGAGTAGATAAATATTCTTTATTGGACGATCATCCTCCTCAATGGCTGTAACTTTTATTTATTACTTTGCAAATGCTGCAAGTTATCAAACTTTTCACTTAAACTATGGTATATCAAATTGACAAGCTTACTAGATGTATGCCTTTGCCAGGTTAGTAATGACATGTTGGTTGTTAGGATGTAAGAAAAACAAACTACTTCTTCACCTTTAAATTTAATATTACAAAAAATCCAGCTTTAATTTTTTATGATAGTTATATGCTTGTTTTGTGGATGCCCCAAATATCTCAGCTCTGTGCAAATGCTACCTTTTGAACTATTCTGAGAATCAAGTGAATGAGAATAACAGGTGGTGACCAAAATCTACATTTAAGATTTTGGAGTAGATTTGTAGCTTGAGTTGTGGATGTTGAGGTTGGTTGGCTCGCTGAGCTGGTTTCTTGTTTTGCAGACGTTTCGTTACCATGCTTGGTAACATCCTCAGTGCAGCCTCCGATGAAGCGTCGGTGTGTTTTCCCGCCTGGTTTTTAAACTCTGGGGTCCGTTGAGATGGATTGCCTCACTTCTGGTTTTTCTTTGTAGTAGAACGTATATGGGGTCAAGTTCAATGTGTTTATTAACAGCATGCTTTGTGGAATGTCATGCTTCTCGGAATTCTCGTGCCTGTCTCTACCTAGCCTGTCCCAGGATCTTGGTGTTGTCCCAGTCGAAGTTGTCGTTCTCCTTGTCCATGTGGATTGAGATGAGTGAGTATTGGTCGTGTCTTTTTGTAGCCAGTTGGTGTTCATGTACTCTTGTTGTTAGTTTCCTTCCTGTTTGTCCGATGTAGTGTTTCTCGCGGTCTCTGCAGGGGATCTTGTAGATGACATTGGTCCTGTCCATGGCGGAGAGTGGGTCTTTAGTTCGGGTGAGCAGTTGTCGTAGGGTTGATGTGGGTTTGTGTGCCACTCTGATGCCCAGCGGTCGTAGGAGTCTTATGGTGAGTTCTGACGTGTTCCTGATGTAGGGTAGTGTGATGAGTGTGTCGGGGTGTGTAGTATCTTTCTGATGTTCGTGTAGGTATCTTCTGACACAGTTCTTTCGATATCCATTATCCTTGAAAACGTGGATGAGGTATTCTTCCTCTTGGCGTAGTTCCATGTTGCTGCAGTGTGTTGTTGCCCTTTTAAATAGTGCTCGCACGCAGCTTCGTTTGTGTGTGCTGGGATGGTTACTGTTGAAGTTCAGTACCTGGTCTGTGTGTGTAGCTTTTCGGTGTACTTTCGTTTGCAGTTCCCCATTTGTCTTGCGCTCTACCATGACGTCCAGCGATGGGAGCTGTTTGTTCTTCTCTCTGGTGAATTTTATTCCGGTGAGTGTGTTGTTTATAAGTTTGTGTGTCTCCTCTAATTTGGTCCGTTTAATGATGACAAAGGTGTCGTCTACGTAGCGTATCCAGAGTTTTGGTTGGATTTGCGGAAGGGCAGTCCTTTCTAGTCTTTGCATCACTGCTTCTGCTAGGAGTCCGGAGATGGGTGATCCCATGGGTGTCCCATTGATTTGCTCGTATGTTTGGCCATTGAAAGTGAAGTGGGTGGTGAGGCATAGGTCACAGTGTGAAGTACAAGCCACCCATCAACAACCCACAAGCCTGGAAAACAGCAGAACAAAGCGGCCGCAAGATGGTAAGGGTAATGATAAACGACGCATACAACCGGCTCCACAAATACAACAGAGAAATTACGTGCCAAAAACCGTTACTCCTGGAAGCTACCAATCAAGACTGGATAACTGATATGGAACGAGCCATTAACATCAGCCGACAGACTACAAGAACCAAAAAAAGACAGACCCTGCAAGACAAGCTAGCCACACTTACCCACAAAAACGACATCAACAGAACAGACACATGGATAAGAAACCTCTCCGACAGGAAACTGACAGACACGGAAAATGCCGTTCTCACCTGAGGACTGAACCACAACTACAGGGACGCTAACAAAACAGAATTCCTAGCCACACTGGAAGCTGCACTCAAGACCAACAATATCAATGACGAAACACAACAAACTATAAGACCGACAGTAATCCTGACACTAACCAGAAGGAGCGAACTCAACAGCCTCAACACACAGGAAAGACCAGCCCTGGACGGATTAAAGAAGGACAAGAACATTACGATACTACCTGCAGACAGAGGGCGCATGACAGTGATACTGAATAAAAGGGACTACATCTCCAAAGAACAAGCACTGCTCGCCGATGAGAACACATACTGGCCAGTATAAACTGACCCGACACCGCAACTAGGCCAAAATCCTCTACATGCTACAAAGACTTAAACAAACAGGACAGATCAACAAAACAGACTTCTTAAGAATGAAACCCGAAGGAACCAACACACCCCAATTCTACGGCCTCCCTAAAGTGCACAAGTCTGAAGTCCCCCTCAGACCCATAGTCTCCCCACCAGGCACTCCATCTCACAGATTAGCCAAAGAACTACAAAGGAGACTCAGGCACCTAGTCAGCAAGTCACCCCACTCTATCCACTCAGCCCAAGAATTCCTCAACTCCATCAAAAACTTAAAGATAGAGGACGAAGAGACCATGATATCGTTTGATGTCACTGCCCTATTCACATCAGTAGACATACCACTAGCAAGAGAAACAATAGCAACACTACTGGAACAAGAGCACGACCCCAGTTAAACTATCTCCTTGGACAACATGCTCAAACTATTGGACCTATGCTTCACCACCCACTTCACTTTCAACGGCCAAACATACGAGCAAATCAACAGGAAACCCATGGGATCACCTATCTCCAGACTCATAGCAGAAGCAGTGATGCAAAAACTAGAAAGGACTGCCCTTCCGCAAATCCAACCAAAACCCTGGATTCGCTACGTAGACGACACCTTTGTCATCATTAAACGGACCAAATTAGAGGAGACGCACAAACTTATAAACAACACCCTCACCAGAATAAGATTCACCAGAGAGGAGGAGAAGAACAAACAGCTCCCATTCCTGGACGTCATGGTAGAGCGCAAGACAAATGGGGAACTGCAAACGAAAGTACACCGAAAAGCTACACACACAGACCAGGTACTGAACTTCAACAGTAACCATCCCAGCACACACAAATGAAGCTGCGTGCGAGCACTGTTTAAAAGGGCAACAACACTGCAGCAACATGGAAGTACACCAAGAGGAAGAAGAATACCTCATCCACGTTTTCAAGGATAATGGATATTGAAAGAACTGTGTCAGAAGATACCTAAACAAACATCAGAAAGATACTACACACCCCGACACTCATCACACTACCCTACATCAGGAACACTTCAGATCTCACCACAAGACTCCTACGACCGCTGGGCATCAGAGTGGCACACAAACCCACGTCAACCCTACGACAACTGCTCACCCGAACTAAAGACCCACTCCCCACCACGGACAGGACCAATGTCATCTACAAGATCCCCTGCAGAGACTGCGAGAAACACTACATCGGACAAACAGGAAGGAAACTAACAACAAGAGTACATGAACACCAACTGGCTACAAAAAGACACGACCAATACTCACTCATCTCAATCCACGTGGACAAGGAGAACCACCACGTCGACTGGGACAACACCAAGATCCTGAGACAGGCACGAGAATTCCTAGATGCATGGCACTCCACAAAGCATGCTATTAATAAACACATTGAACTCGACCCCATATACGTTCTACTACGAAGGAAAACCAGAAGTGAGGCAATCCATCTCAACGGACTAGAGTTTAAAAACCAGGCGGGAAAACACACCGCTTCACCGGAGGCTGCACTGAGGATGTTACCCAGCATGTGAACGAAACGTCTGCAAAACAACAAACCAGCTCAGCGAGCCAACCAACCTCAAAGTCTACATTTTTTTCACTTCTTTTGACATGGACATGAAACTTTCCTTTTAAGTTTACCCATGGAGCTGTTTGAGATATATATTGTGAGAAATTGCAAGTGTTTACTGTGTGCTTGTTGCTTCATGGTGAATTCGACAAATGATTTTGACCGATTACTGTTCTGCTTTCTAAGTGTACAAAAATATTTGACTGCTATCATCACCGGCTGCATAACTATAAATTATTCCTTTTTGCTTTTAAGTATTTATTTACTTACCCTCAAAAACTGTTCAGTGCAGGTGATAAAATAACCACATAAAATGAATTCAGAAAATAAATGCTAAGTCTGTCCATAAAGTCGCATTTTGTAAATGCATTAACAATACTTTTCCTGTGTATTTAATGCCCCTGTTTTTGAATTGAGGGCTGAATTTTCCAATCTGCAGTAGTTTGTGCAGCTGGAGCTAACCTGCTTAAACAGGCTTGTACGCTAAGTAATGTCTTCCAATAGGTACATCTGCCGTTCCTGACTGTGGTTACAGCTCCTAGTGCAGCTAAAGAGTGCTGCCTGTGACCATGTCTAATACTGAATTTGGGTGCTGGACTTTCCCGTAAGATGTTGTAACACTGAATTGGGGGTGCACTTGGCTAGTGTTTCTCTCATTAGCAAAAACAATTCTAATTCTAGTACTTTGAAGACACACTCTACAAATTTTTTGATTGAAAATATATTTTTTGGTTCTAGGTACAGTTGGATTACTGATTGGATATCTGATCCAAGGGGAAAACGTGTTGAAAATAGCATATATTAGTTATTAAATTGGTAAGTGTCTAATTCTGGATTTCTAGTTTATTGACATTAACTTGCAGCGCATGCTCTCTAAACTGCTGTGCACTATTTCCACCCCCTTTCCCTTCCCTCTTTCCCTTCCCTCTTTCCAACCCGTATTTCCGCCTCCTGCCTTGGAAAGGGATCATACTTAAAAAAAATAACATCAAATCTCTGTTCAGGCATTAGATTGCTTTTCAGCAAAGCTGCTATAAAATCAACATGTACAAAACAAAGATTATTCACATCAGGAAATTGAGATTCTTTTGGTTCTGGGACAATTTGCCCAAACAGGAATAATGTCTTGTTTCCCTTCACTGATTCCTATTTAAATATCCATAAAGACTACTTTGCTAGTCAGTAACTGTCAACATTTAGCTTTACTGAAATAAATTGCTGCTATAAATCACAGGCTTTGGATTCCACCCATTTTTTTATCATCAAGTAAGATCCTGGAGTGTTCCAAAATCACTAATGGTGCTTTAGTGCTTGTTCTAGGATAGCGTGGAAAATCATCCTGAATTATTAACCATTCAAATAACATCAACAAGGCAAATATTAATATAGCTATATTCATGGAATTCAGCGCTCCTCCTACCCTGAAATAATGTCTAATCATTTTGACATTTGAATTTTCCTATTGTAATTCAGTGTTGCATGGTCTAACCTTGTTTTCCCATACATATGATCAATGTTTGTTTCCATGCAGTGTGGAATTATTTCATTTCTCTGCACTAAAAAAGTACGCAAGTTCAGCTAATCTTTCTGTTGAATCGTAACATCCACCATGCACTGTACCAATCACAACTCTTCACTTTTCAATATCTGTTAACTCTGAAGCCTGACTCCTTTTTCTAAAAAAAAAATCAATTTCTGAAACAAATATTCAGATTAACAGGATTACTTAAGTCCTTTTAATGGTACAAGTCCCAGAAATTGCTGAATTTTACAGGGCCAATGATTTTGCCTGTCAGCAACAAAGTGGAAGCTCCTCAATTGTGTTTCAACTATGTACACATTTACCAAGCCTGCAGGCTCTTCAAATTAAGATAATCATCATGTTGCAGTTCCATCAAAGGGAACTATTTCCTATCTCATTGACAATATTTCAAAGATGTAAACATGTTCAACATGTGTGACACAAGGAAAGGAATTTAGACTGCTTCAACAGGAAAAGCATAAACAATGCATCAATAGCAGCAAGTAGAATGACTGAATAAAGAAATTGTGTTGCTTTTGTTACTGCAAAGAAAATTTATCTTTTTGCTCAATTATCTAATGAGTTGCTTTGCACTTTCACGTGCTGCCCATTATCATAAAATAAAAAGTCGGAGATCAAATAAGATATGCCACCAACTCAGCTGCTTCAATCGTTTTCACTTGTGTTAGTTGCAGATAAATTATTTTTAACCTGACCTACTTGTTCCTGAAATGCTGTTGAAAAGTAGCTGTCTTGAAAATAAACATTTTTTTAGGAAAGACGATTAAAATTGAAAAGATTTTTGGGTTTTTTTCCCTGAAATGTTGTATCCTAAATGTTAGATTTTTGCCCTCAAATGGGCTAAATATACGTTAGATTTTTACAGGATCGTTATGTCCAAACTCTACTGAAGAAGTTTGAAACCAAGGTAATAATGAGACCTTGTTTTAATACATTTGAATAATATTAAACAACCTACTATATACAGTATACATGGCTACAGACAGGTACTCATGGGAGGACTCGTCAAGAGGAGGAGGAGAGTGCAATGGAACAGAGTCAGAGATATACAGCAAGGAAACAGACCCTTCGATCCACCTTGTCCATTCTGACCAGATATCCTAAATAAAATCTAGTCCCATTTGCCAGCATTTGGTCTATTATTTCTCTCAACCCTTCATATTCATGTACACTTCCAGTTGCCTTCTAACAGTTGTGATTGTATCAGCCTCCACCACTTCCATACATGCATCACCTTCTGCGTGGAACAGTTGCCCCTTAGGTCCCTTTTAAATCTTTACCCTCTCACCTTAAACCTATGCTGTCAAGTTTTGGACTCCCCACACCCTGGTAAAAAGACCCTGTCTATTTATCCTATCCATGCCCCTCTCAATCTT